GGTCTGTCTCTTTTCTCTCCACTGTAAATTGGTTGAAATGAGACAGCATTACTTTATTAATAAAAATTTGGTGATAATTGGGACAGGAGCTAGGCTATGTTAAAATGAAAAATACCTTTTGATATGCAAATGCTTTCTTTCTTAGGAAAATTAATCACATACATTTGATTTCAGGGGAATATTTAAATGACTTTGGGCAATAGTCTTCAAGGACCTTAAAGCCCTTCACATACTTAGTTAAAAAAGCAGAACATAGGCCCTCACTGAGCATTTGGTTCGACTACTTCGTTTTGCAGATTTGAAAACTGAAGCACCGAAAGCTGACCTCTACAAGATCACAGTTTAAAAATTGGCTGAGTGAGATTTGAATCCAGATTTCCTGGTTTCTTGTCCAGAGATCATTCCTCCAAATCACAAGGATATAAAATACACAAACAATACTTGCAAATCCATATATTGTTCAACAAAGTAGCATGACAGCTGAATTGAATGATTGCATCAAATTCTAAAAACTAAGGTAGCATTTCTCTTATGATTTCCATAATCCAGAACGTCCCCTAATTTGCGTGGTACTTTATCCTTGTTTTGTTTGAAAATGTGGGTATTTAGTTTACTGCCTCTACTCCTCCTCCTGCTGTGGCTATTACTACTACTACCATTACAAGTTATCTTTATTGAGTGCCTACTCTGTGCTAGGCACTGCACTGTGACGAATACTTTATAGGTTTATCAGTCAGGTCAGTCAGGAAAACAGACATTATTCTAAGTATTTTGTGAAGAGAGGAATTTAATACAGGTGATTAGTTGATTACAAAATTATTGGATGGGCTTGAAGAGTGAAGGTCAGGAAAAGTCACCGACTTTCTGTTGGCTCTAGATTTTTAGAGGATCAAGAGGTTGCTGCTTTTGCCATGTTAGGAAAAGACAACTTGTAGCATGAAGACAGGTAATGCTGAGGTGTGGGCGGGGATGGGGGTGGGAAATATCCAGAGGCCCCTGTGAAGCATTATGTATGCCAGAGGTCACATGATTACCTGCTACTACCAAAGGAAGAGTAATGTACTGTAGCTGTCTGTCTTCCAAAACTCACCTGAATTGTAGAAACTAAACTATATCTAGAATCACATTGGCAAAGGAGTCTGAGAAATATAGTTCCTAAGATTCTAGCCTCTGTTATAAAGGGAGAAGGCTAGAAGAGGGTGAAAAGTCTGCTAAATCTCTACATTTAACTCATAGCAGAATAGTTGTTGTCTCCTTTTATTCTTTAAGGATTATACATGAGGAAACCTGAGACTTGGAAATTTTAAGGAACTTGTGTAAGTAGCCCCTGGATTACATAACAGGCTGACTGACACATGTTTAGTATAGCAGAGATAACCCCTGAAAGATAAAAAGTAATGAAATAATGTGTTATTTGACATTTTAAAAAGAGGCATTGAGGCAGTAATCCAGGGACTTATATATATAATTTTATATATAATTACATATTTTTATAATTTCAGATATATAAATATATGTATATTGATATTTTCTTTCCTTTTTATTTTTGAAATATAAAACTGGTGAGGATGTGGTAAGAACATCGAGCTTAAAGTCACACAGTTAATCAGTGGGAGAAGCAGGATTTAAGGTCTCTGGAAGTCTGACTCCAGAGCCTGCTTCTTTGCAACAAAACCAACTATGTTGGGCTTCCCTGGTGGCGCAGTGGTTGAGAGTCCGCCTGCCGATGCAGGGGATGTGGGTTCGTGCCCCGGCCCGGGAGGATCCCACATTCCGCGGAGCGGAGAGGCCCGCGTACCGCAAAAAACAAAAACAAAAACAACTATGTTGAGTCACTGAGGGGAGCTTCACTTAGTATGATTATTCGTTAGTTGGCATATACTTTAATAACTTCTCCTTTGCTCGTCCTGGATCTGAAAGATATATTTTACTTACTGTCACCCTATTTTAGAAGGAAAAGAATAAAGGTTGTATTATATTTTAGACCTATTGCTTTAAGCTAGAAAGCAAACAGTCAGGGCTTGTGATCTATGAGGAAATAAAGATCCCAAAGTAAATAGTCTTGACTTTTAGGGTGAAGAGGAACCAAGAAAACAGATGAGGATGAGGGAGTGCAGGTTTCTTTGTTATATAAACCTGGCAGCCACCCAGCTCTGAAGAGAGGAAACTGAGAGGGCTGCACGTTATGATGGGAAGAGGTGGCAAGCACTGAGTGAGCAGGCAGTACCCTGGGGTTTTAATCCCAACTACCCTTGTCCCTTCTGGGAGTTAACTCAGATTGTAAGTATAATAAACAAATGTGAAACACAGAATTTCATTTAGGTGGTTGCTGAGATTTCTTTCTGCTCTGAAATTCAGACTTTGCAGTCTGTGAAGCATTATCATAGTATAAAGTTTACTCTTGCTTGCCAGGAACTGCTGACATTTTCCTTACACCTTTGAGATTTTGAAAGTTTAATAAGTTTGAAATTCATGGTCACGTGATGCAATTTTGAGGTAACTTATTTAAGCACAGATTTTTCACATTTCTAAGTATATTTTAGTCAGGCAAATTTGTCATTTTTAAACATTTCTCTATCTGTTGCATATATTTTTAGTCCCAGGAGACAACGCTCAAGTTATTTAAAGGAAAAGATTTTTGCAGATAATTGCTGAATTTGCAAGTTTATTAGATGCATGTAGCCTCAGACCGAAGAAAACTAATTAGGATCTACGTTGGAAAAATAGCTATGTCTGCTCAATATCTGATTATTTTGAAGTTCAAAGCTTCAAAGTACTTTTATTTAAACTGAACTGCTTTTGTGTTTTTCTCCATTTTAGTTTAAAAATTGATAGGCTGGAAAACCTAACTGTTTTAACCAACTCCCACTGAAGTGATTAATTTGAGGTATAGATTATTCTCATCCAAATTGAATTAATATAGTAGAAGAAATAGATCACTTTTTTGTTGATTACTTTTAATTGGTTCCAGTTTAATAAGCAAACATTACTTTAATGAAGTTTCTGGGTTTATTATGGTAGGAGGCTGTTCACTCCAGTTCCAGTATTAACTTGTCACCTTAGGGCATACCTGCTTTATATTAGTACCTTTTCTTGTCTTTTAGGAATGGACTAGAAGTTTACTGTTATCAATTGTGTCAATTCTTATCCTGGGTAGAGGATGCATGGGGTACTGCATAGAGAACTATTTGAGTCTCTGTATATGCTCAATGAGTAAGTGGATTGTGATAGAAGAACCTTTGCCTATCCCAAGAGAAGGGAGAGAATGAGAGTGTACTGGGGAAGCAATGGCTATAAGAAGTAACAGGTAGCAGTCATTCGCTGTCACTGGTGTTATACACTGGGAGAAGCATGGCCCTGGAGATAGAGGGAATTCGGCTCTAGAATCCTGAATCAGCCGCTGCACGTATTTTGTAGGACAAGACACCTCATCTCTCTGCATCTCAGCCCCCTCATGTAAGAAATAAAGGTTTGACCCTGGTGATTTTGCCAGCTCTGAGAGTCCATGATCCTCTTTTGTTCAGTTGATTTGACAATTGACCACTGTCCATTCAGTCTTTGGCAGTTCATTTCAAGCCCATCTTTTTGAAAGTTTTGGTTAGAAAATAAGAACAAGCCTTCCTAGGAATCGAGAGTCATTCAGGGAGACAGTCTTATTCTTTAATAATACCAATTCTGTCCACTTCAGGTTTGTCCTGCAACTTTTTACTTGAGTCCTTTATTTTTTTCAGAAGTCCTGCTTCTTGGAATTTGCTAAAAAGTTGCTCTATTCTTGTAATATTCTTACATATTGAGAAAAATGTCCATCTTTCCCGTGTATAAGTTTTTAAGGTGCTTAACCACGTAATACTTGGAGGTACATATTCATAGGATGCTATTTTTCTTTTTAGAAACTCATAAATGTAAAAATATTCAATTTGATTCATACATTCTTTAAATTCTTTTTATTTCTTATGATAGATGTTTATATTTAATAAACTTTTACATTTTATAGTAGTTTTAGACTTACACAAAAGTTGTGAAGATAGTACAGAGAGTTCCCATAATACCTCATACTTGGTTTCCCCTATTATTAATATATACATTAGTATGATACATTTAGCCCAACTGATGGACCAGCATTGATACATTCTTACCAACTAAAGTCCAGATTTTACTCGATTTCTTTAGTTTTTGTCGTTTAATGTCTTTTTTCTGTTCCAGGATCCCATCCAAGATACCACATTACATTTACACGTCATGGTTCCTTAGGCTCCTCTTGTTTGTGACAGCTTCTTAGACTTCCCTTGTATTTGATGACCTTGATAGTTTGAGGAGTACTGTTCATGTATTTTGCAGAATATTCTCCAGGTCAGATTGAGATTTCTATATTTTCCCTCTGTTTATTTATTCAATCAGTTATTTAGATTAGTATGGATTTATGAGTATTTTATACTTTGGGTTATAATCTAATACAACTTTATTATTTGCTGCTCAAATTGTTCCAGCTTTGGCCTTTGGGAGCTCTTGCGGTTGATTTCTGTACCATTTTGACATACCCTTACCAATTTTGGCTTTTTTTTTTTTTTTTAGCAGTACGTGGGCCTCTCACCGTTGTGGCCTCTCCTGTTGCAGAGCACAGGCTCCAGACATGCAGGCTCAGCGGCCATGGCTCATGGGCCCAGCCGCTCCACAGCATGTGGGATCTTCCCGGACCGGGGCACGAACCTGCGTCCCCTGCATCGGCAGGCAGACTCTCAACCACCGTGCCACCAGGGAAGCCCTTGGCTTATTTTTAAAATTACTCTGTACAAGATATTCCATGCTCATCTTGAATAATTACTTCCCAAGTCCTAGAATCAGACATTTCTCCAGGTAGTTTTGGATTCTTTTATTGAGCATGGTATTAGAAATCAAAATTTGGGCTTTAGGTGTGTTAGCTGCTATTGGCATGTTGTTTCTCTTAGGCCTCACAACTGACAGAACAAGGAAGTATATGTAAGTATATAAACCTGTGCATATACACATATCTGTAAGTATTCCTATACATTTCCATCTATATTTATATTAAGCTAAACATGAGTTTATACTGATGTCTCCCATTCTAATTCATTACCACAAGGGTCATTCTAGTCTTGTCCCCTTGCTTGTCTATAATTTCCTCTCAAATAGTGAAAAACCTGCTCCCACCACCCACCATCCATTTACTTCATTGTTCAATTCCAGTATACATATATAGTTGTTTAGAATTGTTAATCTAAGCCCCTGTGGCAAAAAATGTTGTCAACTAGAGTACTGCTTATGTAAAAAAATTTTTTTTGCCTTTTCTTTTGCCGTAGGCTGCACTTTATATTTGAATACTTTTTTTAAAATTGAGGTATTATAATTATAATTGACGTATAACATAAGTTGCAGGTATAAAGCATAATGATTTGATACTTGTATATATGGCAGAATGATCACCACAGTAAGTCTAGTTAACATCCATCACCATCACCATACATAGTTACAATTGGTTTTCTTGTGATCAAGATTTTTAAGATCTACTCTCAGCAACTTTCAAATATGCAACACAGTATTATTAACTATAATCCTCATGATGTACATTACATCTCCATGACATTTATTTTGACCCCCTTTGCCCACTTACCTATCTCCTACCCCCCACTTCTGGCAAGTATCTATGAACTAGTTTTTGTTTGTTCATTTGTTGTTTTTTAAAATTTCACATATTAAATAAGATCACATGGTATTTGTCTTTCTCTTTCTGACTCATTTAACTTAGCGCAATGCTCTTAAGTTCCATCCATGTTGTTGCAAATGGTAGCCTTCATTTTTTTCCTGGCTGAATAGTATTCCATTGTGTGTGTGTAGTATAATATATGTATATACATGTACATATGTATATATATACATACATACATATATATGTGTATGTATATATATATATATATAAAATAATCATGTCATCTTTATCCATTCATTCATTGATGGACACTTAGGTTATTTTCATATCTTGGCTATTGTAAAAAATGCTGCAGTAAACATTAGGGTGCATATATTTTTTTGAATTAGTGCTTTTGTTTTCTTCAGTTAAATACCCAGGAGTGGAATTTCTGGATCATATGGTAGTTCTATTTTTAATTTTTTCAAGAACCCCCATACTGTTTTCCATAATGGCTGCACCAATTTACATTCCTTCCAACAGTGTACAAGGGCTCCTTTTTCTCTACATCCTTACCAACAGTTGCTATTTCTTGTCTTTTTGATAATGGTCATTTTATCAGGTGTGAGGTAGTATCTCATTGTGGTTTTGTTTTGCACTTCCCTGTTGATTAATGATGTTGAACAACTTTTCATGTACCTGTTGGCTATTTGTGTATCTTCTTTGGAAATATGTCTATTCAAGTCCTCTGCCCATTTTAAAATCAGAATTTTTTCTTTGCTATTGAGTTATATGAGTTCCTTATACATTTTGGATATTAACCCCTTATCAAATATATGGTTTGCATACATGTGCTCCATTCCATAGGTTGCCTTTTCATTTTGTTGATTGTTTCTTTTGCTGTGCAGAAGCTGTTTAATTTGATATAATCCCACTTGGTGATTTTGCTTTTGTTGCTTGTGCTTTTAGTTTCACATCCAAAAATATCATTGCCAAGACCTATGGCAAGGAGCATTTCGCTGTATTTTCTACCAGGAATTTTACCAGTTCAGACCTTACATTTAAGTCTTTAATGCATTGCATTTTTGTGAATGGTGTAATATAGGGGTCCAGTTTCATTCTCTTGCATGTGACTATCCATTTTTTTCCAACATAATTTATCGAAGAGACTATTCTTTCCCCATCGAGTATTCTTGCCTCCCTTGTCAAAAATTATATGAGCACATGTGCAAGGGTTTCAATCTGCACCCTTGATTCTATTCCATTGGTCTATGTGTCTATTTTTATTCCAGTATCATACTGTTTTGATTACTATAGCTTTATAATATAGTTTGAAATCAGGAAGTATCGTGCCTCTAGCTTTGTTTTTTCTCAAGATTACTTTGGCTGTACAGGGTCATTTGTGGTTACATACAATTTTAGAGTTGTTTTTTCCATATCTGTGAAAAATGCTATTGGAAACTTGTTAGGGATTGCACTGAATCTGTAGATTGCTTTGGGTAGTATGGACATTTTAACAATGTTAGTTAGTTCTGACCTACGAAAACAGGATCTCTCTCCATTTATTTGTGGCTTCTTTAATTTCTTCATGAATGTATTATAGTTTTCAGTGTCTAGATCTTTCACTTCCTTGGTTAAATTTATTTCTAAGTTTTCATTGTTTTTGACTTTGTTGTAAATGGGATTGTTTTCTTTATCTTTTTTTCAGATAGTTCATTGTTAGTATATACCAATGCAATTGATTTTTGTATGTTGATTTTCTATCCTGAAACTTTACTGAATTTGTTTACCAGGTCTAACAGTTTTTTTGGTAGTTTCTTTAGCATTTTCTATATACAAGATCATGTCGTTAGCAAACTAAGACAATTTATTTCTTCCTCTCCAGTTTGGATGCCTTTTGCCTTTTATTCTTTTTCTTGCCTAATTGCTCTGGCTAGGACTTTCTGTACTATGTTGAATAGGATGAGTGAGAGTAGGCACCCTTATCTTGCTCCTGATATTAGAGCAAAAGCTTTCAACCTTTCCCTGTTGAGTATGATGTTAGCTGTGGGCTTATCATATAATGACCTTTATTATGTTGAGGTACATTCCTTCTATACCTAATTTGCTGAGAGTTTTTATCATGAAATGATGAATTTTGTCAGATGCTTTCTCTGCATCTATTGAGATCATATGATGTTAATCTTTCATTTTATTAATGTGGTGTATCACATTTATTGATTTTTGTATGTTGAGCCACCCTTTCATCTCACGGATAAATCCCACTTGATCATGGCATAAAATTCTTTTATTTGTTTTATTTTAATAAATTTATTAATTAATTTATTTTTGGCTGCATTGGGTCTTCGTGGCTGCACGTGGGCTTTTCTCTAGTTGCGGAGAGCAGGGGCTACTCTTTGTTGCGGTGCGCGGGCTTCTCATTGAAGTGGCTTCTCTTCTTGTGGAACATGGGCTCTAGGTGTGTGGGCTTCGGTAGTTGTGGCACGTGGGCTCAGTAGTTGTGGCTCGCGGGCTCTAGAGCACAGGCTCAGTAGTTGTGGTGTGTGGACTTAGTTGCTCTGCGTCATGTGGGATCTTCCTGGGCCAGGGCTCGAAACTGTGTTCCCTGCATTGGCAGGCAGATTCTTAACCAATGTGCCACCATGGAAGTCCTAAAATTCTTTTAATGTGATGTTGAATTTGGTTACCTAGTATTTTTTGGAGAATTTTTGCATCTATATTCATTAGGCGTATTGGCCTGTAGTTTTCTTTTCTTGTAGTATCCATATCTGTCTTTTTTTTTTTTTTTTTGCAGTACGTGGGCCTCTCACTGTCTTGGCCTCTTCTGTTGTGGAGCACAGGCTCTGGACATGCAGGCCCAGCGGCCATGGCCCACGGGCCCAGCTGCTCCGCGGCATGTGGAATCCTCCCAGACCGGGGTACAAACCCGTGTCCCCTGCATCGGCAGGCGGACCCTCAACCACTGTGCCACCAGGGAAGCCCCATATCTGTTTTTGGTATAAAGTAATGCTAGCCTAAAAAACTGAGATTGGAAATGTTGCCTACTCTTCAATTTTTTGGAAGAGTTTGAGAATGATTGGCATTCATTCTTATTTAAATGTTTGGTAGAACTTATCGGGGAAACCATCTGGTCCTGGGATATTCCTTGTTGGGAGGTTTTTGATTACTGCTTCAATCTCTTTACTGGTTACTGACCTGTCAGATTTTCTATTTCTTCATGGTTCAGGGTTAGTAGGTTGTTTGTTACTAAAAATTTAATTAATTTCTTCTAGGTTGTCCAATTTGTTGGCATATAATCATTCATAGTAGTCTCTTATGATCCTTTGTGTTTTATCAGTTGTACTGTTGCCTTTTTCATTTATAATTTTACTTGTTTGAGTACTCATTTTTTTCTTGGTGAGACTAGCTAAAGGTTTGTCAAATTTGTTTATTTTTTCAAAGAATCAGCTCTTAGTTTCATTGATCATTTCTTAGTTTCATTGATCGTTTCTGTGTTTTTCATTCTCTATTTCATTTATTTTTGTTCTGATCTTTTTTTATGTCCTCCTTCTTCTAACTTTGAGCTTAGTTTATTCTTCTTTAGCTAGTTTCTTAAGGTGTAAAGTTAGGTTGTTTGAGATCTTTCTTTTTTCTTAATGTAGGCATTTATTGCTATAAACGTCCCTTTTAGCACTGCTTTTGCTGCATCCCATAAGGTTTAGTATATTTTTTCATTTTTATCCATTTCAAGGTATTCTTTTGATTTCCCTTTTGATTTCTTGTGACCCATTGGTTGTTCAGTGGCATCTTGTTTAATTTCCACATTTTAATAAATTTTCCTATTTTTCCCCTGTTATTGATTTCTAGTTTCATTCCATTGTGGTCAGAAAATATATTTGGTATAATTTCAGTCTTTTTAAATTTTTTGATATTTGTTTTGTTACCTAACATATGACCTATCCTGGATAATATGCCATGTGTGTTTGAGAAAACTGTATTTTGCTGCTCTTGGATGGAATGTCTGTATATATTTGTCGGGTCTGTTTTGTCTAAAGTATAGTTCAAATTTAATGTTTCCTTATTGATTTTCTGTCTGGATTAATCTATCCATTTTTGAAGTGGGATGTTGAAGTAACCTACTATTATTATTATATTATTGTCTATTACTCCTTCAGATCTGTTAATATTTGCTTAATATATTTAAGTGCTCTGATGTTGGATGCATATATACTTACAATTGTTATATTATCTTAATGAATTGACCCTTTATCATTATATAATGACCTTCTTTGTCTCTTGTTACTATTTTTTACTTGAAGTCTATTAATTTTGTCTGCTATAAGTATAGCTACCCCGCTCTCTTTTGGTATCCATTTGTGTGGGATAACATTTTCCATCCCTTCACTTTGAGCTTATGTGTGTCCTTGAAGCTGAAGTAAGTCTCTTGTGGGCAGCATATGGTTGGGTCTTATTTTGTCTCCATTCAGTCATTTACATTTAAAGTAATTATTGATATGTAAGTACTTACTGTTGCCATCTCATTAATTGTTTTCTTGCTGTTTTGTAATTCCTTTATTCCTTTGTTCCTCTCTTGCTGTCTTCCTTTGTAAATTAATTATTTTCCATGGCAGTATATTTTAATGTCTTTCTCTATCTTGCATGTATTTACTAGAGGTTTTTGCTTTGTGGTTACCCTGAGGCTTACCTCAAATATCTTATAGTTATAACGGTCTGTTTTAAGCTGATAACAGCTAAACTTCAATTGCATATGAAAAGTCTACTGTTTCATTTCCCCCTCCACATTTTATATTTTTGATGTTACACTTTACATCTTTTTATATTGTGTATCCATTAATAAGTTATTGTAACTATAGCTATTTTTATTACTTTTGTTCTTAAACCTTTATATTAGTGTTAAGTGGTTAATATACCACCATATTACAGTATTAGTGTATTCTGAATTTGATTATATATTGCCTTCACTAGTGTGCTATTTATTTTCATAAGTTTTCATGTTACTAGTTGGTATCCTTTCATTTCATCTTCAAGAATTGCTTTCAGTGTTTCTTGTGAGGTAGCGGTTAGGAAATTCTTTATCTCATCTTCATTTCTGAAGGATAACTTCGCTGGGTATTCTCGGGATGGCAGTTTTTTTTCTTTCACCACTTTGAATATATCTTCCCATTCTTTCTTGGTCTGTAATGTCTCTGCTGAGAAATCTGCTAATAACCTTATGGAGGTTACCTTGTATGAAAGAAATTTGATTTTTCTTGCTGCTTTTTAAACTCTCTTTTTGACTTTGATTTTAGGCAATTTTCTTATGCTGTGTCTTGGAGAAGATTATTTTGAATTGAAGTTTTAACATGACCTATGTTCATGCTCCATGAACTTGAATATCCGAATCTCTCCTCAGGTTTGGGAAGCTTTCAGCCATTATTTCTTTCTTATCCTTTTCTCTCTTCTCATTTCCCCCTCCCTGCCTGAGATAAAAATGCAATAGTATTTTGGTAAGTCTGTAACTTTTTATATTTTAAAGGTACCTCATAGGATGTCACTTCCTGTATCACATTATGATTATTTTTGTTTACATATCTGTATTATTTCCTGCTGGGCTATAAGCTGTTCCTGAGCTGGAAATAAATTGTCATCTCTCTAGTGCCTGATGTGATGTTTGTGTTATACGTAGTGCTAATTAAATGTTTGAATCAATGAATCTTTGAGTTTTATGCGAGCAGAGCAATGCCGTCATAGTGAACTAGGCTTACAGAGCTGGGTTGCCTTCAAACAGGAAGTTAAACTGCCTTTTGGGTGTTTACATGCAACATTTAACCTGATACATAGTGGTGTGATGTCCAGGGTAGGGTCTCTGGAATCAGAATGTCTAGCAATGAATCTTGGCTCTACCACTTACAAGTTGTGACCTTGGGAAGGTTATTTAACTTCTTTATCCCTCAGTTTCCTTATCTGTAAAATGTGGGTAATAATAAAATCAAGCTCATAGCGTTCCTGTGGGTTGAATGAGGACATACTTGTAAAAGGACATGGACTATATATAACTGCTTTAAAAAGGTCAGCATTATTACCATTGAATAATTTTAATATAATTTTATTCTTAATTGGCATATTTAAAATATTCCTTCCCCTTTTCCTTTCCTTCTACTAGAATATTTTTAACCTTAGTTCTCAGCCTTAATTTCTATAGATTTGATTATTTTTCTCCTAATATTTGTGTGTGTATGTCTTTTCCCTCAGCAGTGAGCAGAATCATTGTTTCTCAGAGAGCACACTCTTAGCTTGGATCTTGGCTTGAGAAGTAATTATTTTGTCATTACCTCCCATTGCTCTGAATTTGCCATCTGTTGGCAACATCACTGAAATGATCCAAGTCTTCTGTAATCTGGCAGTAGTTAATTAATTAATTATTATTATTATTTTTTGCTTTAATGCCAGCTTAAGTTCTGTCTCTCAGATGGGGAATTTGGCTAATATTAGAAGTAAGCCTGACTATTTGGCGTTTATATAGAACATCTATAGTTTGCAATTTGGAAAGACAGCTATTTTACTTTTTAAAATCCTATTAAATATGAGAGGAAAGAATAACTTGAAAAGAAAAGAATGGCAGAAAGTTGTTTTAATTTTGGTTTATGCTATTATTTGTATTAACTCAGAACTATGCAAAGAATGGCCCATCTTTGTAATTTCTACATTGGGTATGGCAGTGGTCTTTGAACACTGAGATGTTTTAAAGATAATCTGTGCCTTAGAAACTTTATCATGCAGACCATCTAGTTTCAGATTCTAAGCCAATTTCCCCATAGGTCTTCCAATTGCTCGATGTTCTTTTACAACTGTCATTCTCAAGAGCTATTCATCAGGCTGAGTTTGCATCCCCGGAATCACTGTTCCTTGGGGTCTTCCATGTCACATGAGGAATGTCTTTACCACTGCCACATCCGTCTTTCTTTTGCACATTTGTATTTATCTTTCATGTGGATCTATTCCAAACCTCCCATAAATCTTAGTAGAGTGCCTCTTAGCCTCTGAATTCTCTTTATCGTCATGGAAGCATATTCTTGAAAGGATTCCAGGAGGGCAGTTATAATGAGTGATCCTCTCATTTTTCTCATTCTTTCTTTCAGACCTGCCAGAGAAATTGCTTATTTCACAGAAGGATGGTGCTGGCTGAAAGACATTCTTGAAATGGAGGGATTACTGCCTTCCACAGGTTCCCCTGAAGATGTATTTTATTTGCATTTTAATTCTTAGAGCTAAAAGGCACGAGCATGAACTATTGAGGATATTAACTCTGAAACTTTGTCTGCATTGTTTCTGTTTGCATGCTGTATAGTGTGTTACATAGGAATCTATCAACAAAAATATATACTCCTGGCTATAAATTAGGTTTGACTATTCATTTGATAAAAGCTACACCTATCCTTTTGATAATAAATAAATAAATACACAATAGATTGATAATGTCTAGTGTTGGTGAAAGTATGGGGAAGCAGTTACAGTCATTCTTACATATAGTGGTGACTGCTGCAACATTTTGGGAAGGTAATCTGGACAGCATGTAGCAATATTTTAAAATCCTTTTTTTCTTTTAGGAATTCATTTAATGACAACCTATTGAGCACAGACTATGGAGCAGCAACCATTCTAGTTACTGGGGATATGGCAGTGGCAAAATGAAGTCCTTAACCTCATGGATCATGCTTTTATTTGGAGTGGGAATGGAGACAGAAAATAAACAAACAACTAAGTACAAAGTATGTCAGATGGGGACTAATGCTCTGGACAAAATAAAGTAGGGTAAGGGGGAATAAGAATACCTGCTTCTTTTGGGGAGGCGTGTCATTTATTTTATATAAAGTGGTCATGAAAGGCCCCACTGAGAAAGTGACAGTTGAGTAGTAATTTGAAGGAAGTGAGAGAAATAAGGACATCTGGAGACCTGAGCAACAGAGTTCCTAGTAGGGGCAACAGTGAATATAAGAAATTCTAAGGTGGAGGCTTCTTATTGGATCAATGGACTAGTGCTGAGGCCAGTGTGTCTTTTGTAAACATTGATAATGGCATTTCATTATTCAAATTTCTGAAATGTTTCTGTTTTCAAATCTATCAGCCTCTTTCTTTACAGTTTTGAACTTCGAAAATATGTTTAGAATGACCTTCCATGTGCTCACAATTATGAAAAAAAATACGGTTGGCCCTCTGTATCTGCAGGTTCTGTATCCATGGATTCGACCAACTGTGGATTAAAAATGTATTGTAAAAAAATTCCAGAAAGTTCCAAAAGCGAAACTTGAGTTTGTACCATGCCTGCAGCTATTTACATAGCATTTTACAACTATTTACATAGCATTTACATTGCAATAGGTATTATAAGTAATTTAGAGATGATTTAAAGTATATGGGAGTTGTGCGTAGGTTATGTATGAAAATGCTATGCCATTTTATATGCGGGGCTTGAGCACCGTCCAATTTTGGTATCTGTGGGGGATCCTGGAACCAATCCCCCATACATACTGAAGGATGACTGTAGTTTTTTCTTTTAAACTCTACTGATAAGTGTGTTCACACTTAGAACTTTTTGAAACTAGATGTTAACTATGAAAATGATCATGCAGTGATTGTACATCACTACAGTATGTATCCTAAAATCATCTATGTTTATGTTGACAGATTCTTTGCTTGATTGACCAAACTTTAGTTAGGGTCCTGAACCTTCTCCTGGACTCACCTGTATACTTCCTTGTAAAATCCAGTTTTAGCAAGAACCCTGCCAAGTCAGTTTAGCAAGAGACCCCCATCCTCAATATCTGATCACCCTCTATATCTGATCAGGTTCTTCATCCTTCACCACCCCCAGATGATGCCTAATTACCCTGGCCTATCTTCAGCAAAGAACCCTGTTAGGTCAGTTTAGGTGAAATTCTCCTTATCCCTGGTGTTCCCCTTAATAATTTTCCATCCACTACCCTCCCTCCCCTTCCACTCCTGGGCTGTATATTCCCACTTGCCCTGTATTTGCAATTAATCCAGGTTTGGTACTGAGTCACTTTTACCTTATTGCGATAGTCCTGAGTAAAACTTGTTTTTGCTGCTTTAACTACTGCCCAGCTCTGGTTTTTATTCGAGAATGTTTAGTCTGCAGTGGAGCATCTGAGTCAGTCTAGAGTTTTGTAGGTTTCTTAATATTAGGAAGATCATTAGCTATTATAAAGTTAGAAATCTTTGTGTGAGTAGGTGACTATGTTTTTCTTTTTGTATTAGTATGAATAAGCATTTAATATGGTTATAATAGCATATAACTCAATGTCTTTTTTTGAGAAAATACTAATCATGAATTATTATGATGGATCAGTGTTGGATGATATTATTTTCTGTGGTTACCTTAAATATATAGTTAAAAATGCCTGTCAATGCAAAAGATCAAATTTGACTATACTCTACCCAGTGATGAATGGCAAATATGCTGAAAACTTAGGTTAACCCAGAATTATTTACTTTCTTCAAGATTCCAGTTATTAAAACTTGCAAATACAACACTAGATTAAACTTTCATTTTTTGTTTCTGGCTTGGTCTAGGTACACATGGAGTCCTCCTTTTGGAATGTAAGTCTTATGTATGACTTGCTTTGAGGAAGAGATGCTCGTTAGTATTAAAATTTGTATATGAACAGTTAAATGTTATACTATTGATGGGTTATATATCTTTTATTGTTACTAATTATATTGCCCTTAGAACCTTTGAAAAATCTGTTGATAACTTCCATTTCTAACAGGAATCATGTTATTCATAGGGCCTCAGCTAAAGGGATACTAATATATATATTAGAGGTGCATTCAGTGTTGGAATTGTGTGACCTCTTATACCATAATCATTAAAACCCAGGACTTCTTCATATACTGCCTTAAACGGGATTCTGGGATCCTTCTATGTATACTGGTCTAATTTCCTCAATGACATTAGAAGTTCCTTGAGGAGATTACACGTGGGAAAATAGCACAACAAGTTTTTAAGTGAAGTAGGGAGGTAAACATTACAATTTTGACCCATAATTTCAGAGTAAAATATGATCATTATCAGCTAGCAGTCATGTTTTTCCATTTCTGGTCAAATTAGGTGTCCACTGTTTCTCTAACATTTGCAGAAAATTGGTTCAATAGTCTGTACATGAATTATTCCCCTTTCTGGTATGAATAAACATGCAATGGAAAATATTAATTAAAGCAAGTCTGGTTATTCAAACAATGCATTATTTAGGAAAGATCTCTAATATTTAATGCTAATTTTCTTTCTTGTATGTCAACAATCTCCATGATTTTTTGTTGTTTAAATTTATAAGTGATTAATCAAAAGCACAAATAGATATAGGAATCTTAAGATCTAATATCCTCATTCATAACAACTCTTTAGTAGTGGTCCCTAAAAGATATCAAATACTTATTGTTTTACAAAGCCTGGTGGTAACATTCTCTGTGTTGCCTAAGGGTAGCAGTTCTTCAACTGAATGTTTTTACTATGACATTTTTTATTTCTTGTTGTGATGTACATTAAGGTTAATATAACTTGTGTTCTTAAAGCGATTCCTTCAAAAGGAAATGTCGTGAGCTAGAAGTTCATCTTCAAACCCAATGGCAAGGACAGCTCTTTAAAGTGATTTTAATGAATTATCAATTTTATGCTGATACACTACAGTGCCTATAAATACCTACATATTTTCTGGGAATGCATGCATGAAACTATACACACGTTGTCCTTTGTTAGAATGCAAAGCATTGATGTCTGTCTTTAAAAACTATTTTCAATTTCATTTGGAGATGGCCAAGTTTTAATTAAATAAAAATGTCAGGAATAATGAATAAAGATGGAAAAATGAGATAAAAATTCATCAACCTGGCAGACCTTGCTGATTTGGCATTAAAGAAGTTGTATTTAAGATCTAATTTTAACAACATTCTTCAATAATGTGACACAGTAAAGGAATATTCTTCACGGACTACTTTACTTCTAATTTGCTAAATAATGCATTTCTAATTGCTAAAATAATAGTCAGTGAAGGGACTTCCCTGGTGACGCAGTGGTTAAGAATCCGCCTGCCAATGCAGGGGACACGGGTTCTAGCCTTGGTCCGGGAAGATCCCACATGCCGCAGAGCAACTAAGCCCGTGCGCCACAACTACTGAGCTCTAAAGCCCACGAGCCACAACTACTGAAGCCCACGTGCCACAACTACTGAAGACCGTGTGCCACAACTACTGAAGCCTGCGTACCTGGAACCCATGCCCCGCAACAAGAGAAGCCTCTGCAATGAGAAGCCCTCACACCGCAACGAAGAGTAGCCCCCGCTTACCGCAACTAGAGAAAGCCCGTGAGCAGCAACAAAGACCCAACGGAGCCAAAAAAAAAAAAAGGTCATTAAATTGTTAAATTGCATTATATTACTGAAGTACAACATATATTTAAAATATAGCTTTTTAACTGAATACTTAAAATTTTTGACTCACAGTAATTGTGGTGGTTTTAAAATGTGTCCCCCAAACCTTTGGCACGCCTGTCTATAAAATGTGGAGCCTAATTTCCCTCCTCTTGACTATGGGCTGTACTTGGTGACTTTCCTCTAATGAATCAAATGTGGTGGAAGTCATGGTGTGTCACTTTCAAGGGTGGTTGTAAAATATACTGAAGCTTCTGTCTTTCTTTTGAATCACTTGCTTTGGTGGAAGTCGGCTGTCTTGTGAGGACACTCAAGCAGCCCTAAGGAGAGATCCTTGTAATGAGGAACTGAGTCCTTCTGCCAAGAAACAGTACTGACTTGCCAGCTACTTGAATGAACCACCTTGGGAGGAAATCCTCCAGCCCATTCAAACCTTCAGAAAACTGAGCCGTGGCCAACATCATGGCTGCAACCTCCTGTGACACTCCAATCCAGGATCACTGGGCTAAGTAGTTCTTACATTTCAATCCATAGAAACTGGGAGGTGATGCATATTTTTTGCTCTTTTAAGCCACTAAGTTTTAAGGTAATTTGTTAGCCTTAACCCTTTAATACTTTGAAATCAGCCTGATAGAGTTTTTGGTTTAACTAGAGTGTCTATAAAGCTGTATTTCAGGATGCTTTTCTTCCAGTAGTTTTAAATTATCCTCTGGACATTTATTTTTAGTAGTAACTTTAGAAACCTTTTGAGTCTCTGTACAATAGGTAATTAAAGGCAAGCAAAAGTAGATACTTTAAGATTAAAAAAAAAACAAACCTTTTGGTCATATTTATTCTTGAAACAATGATTTTTAAAAGTCTTAAATGTTAACCTAGATGTAAACTAGATGTTAAACAGGCTTTTATTGACCTGTAAGATTTGGAAAAGATTACTTGAAACTTCATTTCATATATAACAGTATGACCACCTCTCCAGGATTTGCATGGTTCCCAAAGGGCTTACTTTCTTAAAATCACTGCTGCCTTTCAAATTCTCCATTAATTAATTAATTAATTCATGCATTCATTCCTTCAACCAACAAATATTTATTAAGCACCTACTACATGCCAGATACTATTTAAGGTCCTTGAGATGAGTGATGAATAAAGTCATCATCTTCTGATGAATAAGGTCAGTTTGGGGATGGTCTGTCCATTCTGCCTCTGTCTCTGTTTCACACCACATGAACCAAGAAGCAGCCTTCTTAGCCTTCCCCCTCACTTTTCACCAAACCATTTATTTAAGGAATTTGTATCCAGGTTTTCCTGAATTTTTGAGTAGATGGAGAGTTTTACCCTGAAGAAACACATAGAACTTAAAATTCACAGTAAGACATGCCTGTTTTTAGAAGTCCTGTAGCTATTTCCAGAAGTTGAGTTTCAGGCTCCCTGGTTGTGTTTCCTCACCCTCTTTGTGCCTCCTTCTCTCTTCTTTGTTCTCACACCTTCCCCACTTTTGATTCTCTGTGTATACAATAGGTAATTAAAGGCAACCAAAAGAGGATACTTTATCTCTTTTTCTCCAGTGCGGAGAATTTTAAATATTTCTTCTGTTGTGCTTGTTTTTGCCAGCCTATCACCACTTTCACTTTTCCCAAACTCGCTTTTGTTTCATTGCATTTCCTACACAAGTTGGTTCCCTCCACAAAAAGAAATGCGGTGCTATCTGTTAAAGAAATAATTTTCACACTGCTCCAAGTATTTTTTCCCTGAAGTGAAACATTGATGAATAACATCCAACGAATGGTCGAACTAGTGGTAAAAGTAGTTCAAAGATTATTTGCTGTGCAGCCACATATATACTCTGTAAATCTTTATTTACCAGTGAATTAGGGACACAATGATAATCACGTAGTCCAAGAAGGCTATTATTTCCAGAGAAATAAAAAAATTGTTTTTTCAATCTTTAATTTAAACCCCAAATTGGCTTTTTTCAACCTGTGTTCTGTTGTTTGACACAGCAGTTCCATCCAGACCATAGTTAATCTTAACATTAGGATCATTATTCCATTAAAAGTCTAGGCTATAAATCATACTTTTTTATGTGAGAAAAATACCAGGAAGAATAGTGAGATTGAGAAATGTATGTTTTGGGAAAAGTCATTATAAAATCTTTGCTTATTTTTCTTCTTGCTTTGGATATGCACAGATTCTTTACCTTTTAGAGGGTTCAATTATGGAATATCTTTGAAAGCTATAAAAACACAATGTTTTAACTTTCAAGTTAGGAGTATAGAACACAGGTTTATCATACTACTATTGTTATCCCTAAACAAACAAAAAACTTGTAAAGATGTAGATTTTATAATGGATTTGGTTTCCCTATCAAGTGAAGCATATATATGTATATATTTGTATATGTGTGTATATATATATAGTATTGTGTTGCATTGTATGGTATGGTATGATATGGCATGGTATGGTATGGTCTGGTATGGTATTGCATTGTATTAGTATTGCATTGCTTACCACTTCTGACAATATTCTGCTATTGATGTTGGCAGAGACAAAATCCGAGAACAATATAAATTTTTTTTCTAAATCTGAAAACCTTGAAAAAGATTCGCCTTTGACAAAATACAAGGTCTAGTAATTAAGCTATTTCTTTCCCTTCCCTTCTCTTCCCTTCCCATCCCCTTTCTCTGTTTCTTCTTCTCCTTTCTCTTTTCATATTATAGGCTGGAGAACTTGAAAATATATCAAGCCAGATGAGTGACTATGTGGGACCATAGCATGTGCCCAGGCAGATGTAGAGACTATTATCTATTTCCTCCCTCAAACAGGGATCCATCAGTTGTCTTCTCTTAGAAGTACTTAGAGAATGTAAGTCTGGTTTAAAAATTGCTTTATGTTTTATCAATCTAAATTTTCTCTATAAAGATTGAGGTTTGTTTTGTATATTTTTTCTAAGCTGCTCAAAGAAAACATAAATATGAGTAGAGAAATATGGATTCTAGTTACAGTTAACTTTTAAGTTTGATGTTAAGCATGACATTTATGCTATTCAGGAAACATTTTTATTTATCTATCAAATATATATGTTACATTAGCTGCTCTCTAAGATTTCTTGTAGTTTTTAAGCTGTAAGAGTTTGTGATACTAAGTATCACTTTACTTTGTGTTAAAGTGTGGCATTATTTAATGTAAAATTATCACTGAGCATAACTGGTGCAGTCCATGGCTAACTCAATACCCCCTGGTAATAAAACTTACCCTTCAATTTTCCAAACAAACAAAATTTCAAAACCAGTTTAGTGGACATTTGTTGATATCTTCTTTTATAACCCTCTCCTCAATCCCTTTTGAAAACACTTGCCAGTTTCTCTTGTGGGCATCTAGTGGTGAAGCCAAAAACCTAGGTAGACTAAGCCAGTCAGATCAGTTCATTTCATTGATTGTATGCTTTGGTTCTGGGGTTGCCATCCCATTCTCATGTCACCTTAGTTCTAATAGAAGTGAAATTCAGGGTTTTGCTGAGAATTCAGGAGTAAAGATATTCTCTTTTCCTGCTACATGTGGATAAGGAAGCATGTATACCATGCATTAGCAGCCATCTTGAGATCATAAAATACGCTGGTTTTAGGAATATGTAAACATCTTGGCATGCAGAGTGAGATATGGGACGCACACACACATACATACACACATTCACATGCACACACAACTTTTGTGATACCGTTGAGCCTAAACTTTCTGGGTATTTCTTTTATTGGTGACCAAAGCCAATGTTTAGCTTTTTAAGTGTGCTGGCTAAAGTAAGTTCAGGGGATTAATCACAATTATATGGGGGGAAAGCAACTACATGATGGAACAAAATTAGGAGAGGTCCTTAAATCACTGTGAAGGATCCTCAGCTGGTTAAATAAATGGTGATATAATGTGAAAAGTATGAGCTTTGGAGGAAGGTAAACTTTAGTTTAAATCCTGACTCATTTACTTAGCATTTACTTAGCATTAGCTAACATTTATTGACCATTTACTGTGTACTGAGTGCTTCTTTTTATCTCATGTAATCCTTTTACAGGTACTATTTTTAATCTCCATTTTACAAATGAGAAAACTGAGGATTAGAGAAGCTAAGGACATAGTTGTTATGTGGCATAGTTCAGTTTCAAACCCAGGTGTGCACTATCCAGAATCTTCATTTTTTTACTTATCCACAGGTGTATTTTATTTGGCCTATGTATTATATTTTTAAATTGTTTGAGCCAGCATTTAAAAATTGAAGGACTTCATGTAAAAATCCAGACTTGCATCTTCCCTTGAAAAATGTGTCCATATCCTAGGGGAACTACCAACTAGAGAGTTACTCTGTCTCCTCCATTTAGTCAAGACATAACCTCTACAGTTTGCCATAATATCTATCCTTCTATATTGTTGTCCTGACTGCAAAGCTGGGACAATAAGCAGTGACCATTTCTTTCACATTGTTGCCTTTCTTATAATAGAGAAAATGTACCTTCAAAAATGAAGGATGGATCTAGAGGGTGGGGATTTTCAAGGAAAAGGAGACAGTGTTCTCTTTTTCTTCTTTCAGATTTATTGAGATATAATTGATATATAACATTGTCTAAGTTTAAGATGTACGT